ATCCACCACCTCGACTCTAGTAGGAACAACTACTATTCCTACTGGCCCGACGTGTTTCCCGGAGCAGTGCCAGAAGTACTAGCTACATTGCTACCAACGGGATGAGAGGATCCCAACGCCTGCCCCATCGTAGGCGGGATCTTATCGGTCACCTTCTTGTTGCGCCACTTGAATTGGTTATGGCCATATTGACCACAACGAATACAGGCGCCGTGTATACCGATCTCTCCACACGTCCTCTGTAAGACCCGCCTTCTCCCATGGGGGAGCGTTGGGGTCAACTTGACTCCTTGACCGGGAGCTTCCGCGGCGTCTACCGGTCGCCTTACCTTTCTGAGCTACAGCAGCGACAACTCCACCCCCTGAAGCTTCAACGCTGCCAGCCTCTGAACCTACTCCCTCCTAGAAGTTGTCGTCTAACTCGATGGTTGAACCATCGTTATCGACAAACATTATGCGACGCTTCGCCTTCCATTTGGGAGGCAATGTTTTCTTTCTACCATCCGTAGTGGGTGTCTACCCATTCCCTATCTTCGCCTCAAGGTCTAGGGCCTTCTTGCTAAACGAGGGGAAGTTGTGAACATTGATGTTGGCCTCACCTGCCAACTGATTCCTGAGAGGCATTGGACAGGTAGGAGGTGAGTAAAACCTGGGGGTCATAGCGCACCCCAGGGACACAGATTAGACGCTCTACAGCGTCGGTGGCCTCCCTTATTGACTTAAGCTGCCTCGTGTGAAGTGTCAAGATCGCATCAGTGGCCTTTTGGGCCTCCTGAGGATCATGCCACCTTTCTTCCACCAGCTTACCGCCCAAGCGCGGAAGTCATGACTGTACCCCTGTAGTTGCACTAAACCGCTCAACCATCGTGCTGCACTACCCTCCAGATAGGATGCAGCCACAAGCACTTCCTCGTGCGGCAAGGTAAGCTTACACTTGACATAGACGGACACTGCCCTCAACCACGCGTCGAGGTCTTCGCCCCTCTTATCCCCTGTGAAGGGTTTATGAGCGGCGATGGCCATCTTTGGTACCCACTGTCCCGGTCCCTGCGTCACTCCGGGTTGTGGACCCTGTGACACAGGCGGCTGCACTGGCTGCAGGGGCTGTGTACCCTGCGGCTGTACAGGCTGCGAGACAGCAGGTTGCGTTGTAACTGCAATCTGCAACGGAGGTTGGGAATACACTGGTCGTACAGGAACCTGCAAACTAGGACCTGCTGAAAGCCCTCCTGATAGCGGCATGCCCAGGGAAACGATAGCGACCGATGATGGGGCTACATATGGGGATACCCCAGTCACCGGTGGGACAAAAGGAGGAGGATGTGCAACGGGCCAGGCACCTGGCCCGGACGGTGATGGTGTCGCCTGCATCCGCCCGACTAACACAACCAGACTCTGCTGGATGTCCTGTAAGATATCCGTCTGGTGATCCTGCATCTCCACTACACTTAACAGGACCGACCGTATGGTTCTCACATCATCATCCATCTCTGCAGAGTTCATCTCCTCTAACTCACTAACGTCCGCTTCTCTCCTCTGCATCCTGGCTCTTCTCCTAATCCTTCTCTCTTTCTCATCCTTAATCTCTCCTAAAGCCTGCTGTAGTTGTGCCTCGCGAGCAGCAGCTCGCTGTATGGCGACCTCCTCGGGTGTCAACACCAATGGCTGGCTTGCCATAAGGCCAGCGGACTGACTCTAGGTCTGTGCAACCGTTGACCCTACAGATCCTGAACTACCGGCCTGAGTAGTCTGCTGCGCAGAGGTAGCCATGGCTTCCGAAGCTGCGGCTTCACTTACAAGTGCCCTGCTAGCCTCTGCTGCTCTATAGCCCTCCTCTGCTGCTGCAACCTCTCCCTACGTTGGCGGAACAGGTACCTGTCGCCCTCTGGTCCTAATGCCAAGTGGGCAATCGGGCGTCTAGCCGATCGCAAGATCCGGTCGTCCTCTCTAGTGTCCTCCCTGTCGCTCATAAGCTACAACACTGCACACAGTCTGCACTAGTGCACTCTAGATGCCTACCGCAGTGTAATGCACAGACCAATTTAAAGTAAATAACTAATTAATTGGTGGCTGTGTCAGAGACTATTCATTCGGGCTCAACAGGTAAGTCAGATTCCTACAAATGAAACTATTTTTAGTCTGATTAGTCCGCAAACAGAATGCACAATGAACAATGACAGTTCTAATTATGCTGTCTGTCAGATGTCATATGGTTGTACACCTAACTAATCAAAAGATTCAAAACATAAAAATAGAATCATTTGTGTGGATAGGACAGTATGGAATTTTTCTCGAACTTATCACCTGAAATCTACCCCTCCCTTAGTTCCCCTGAATGTCACTTGATGTCAGCGTCCCTGAGCAATCCGGAGAGCGTTGCGTGTCTACAAGGTGTGTGTTCGGCCCACCCCTGTGCCCCGAGTATCTGCTGAGCTGGCCAGCCCTGCACTGGATTATCCTCGCGTGCAGCGAGCCTTACAACCATTGGCTGATCCAGAGGCAATTTAACGACCGCCCCCAAGTGTCATCAGGAATTATTTTACGTCGCAGCAGGACGACGATCACAGCCAATGATTTCCCCTGCCGGTGTTTATTTAAAGACGCCCGGTTCTCGTCTCCCACTTAGGGCTGGCCTGCCCTTCAGTACCCATCTAACAGCGCAGCAAGCCGAACAAAGGACAAGCAGCAAAGCATGCATGCTCTACTCCCGGTGGGTTGGCATGGTGACCGTGACCCAGTGCATCGTCCAGGGCCCTTCAGAAAGCTCCGCCCATCTTCTCCCAGATGCTCCACGTGAACATTGCCGACTCTCAAGGTTGAGCGCACTCGACACCTCACAATGAGAGGACTCTCAAGAAGGAACACACAACCTCACGGTAAGAAGTGTCAAAGAGGGTAGATAAGGTTAAGAGCAACGTACCTCAAATAGCTGCCCCCAACCACAGAGATAATCTCACCAGATGACCTCATGCCGATTGTGATGACCAGTCATTGCTTCGGCACAACCAGCATTGCACGCCGTTCCACCTCAGCACCAATCGCACATCAGATAGTTCTCATCACACTGTCCAGACCCACATTACCCCACGTAACCTTCCTGGCGAGCCCCTCACCTCCTGGGTTGCCACTCACTCGTCTCCGCCCTCCTCACTACACACCACTTACGGCCCAACTCACCAAGCAGACCGCATGTATGTGCCGCATTAGGCAGAAGACAAGCGCCAGATGAGCGCAATCGTACCACAGCTCCGATACCAAATTGCAAGGAAGATGAGCAATAGCGAACTTCAGCAATCAAACAGCACCATATACACCAGACCAGATAGTCGTGACCTCGAACCAACAGCAGAATTGCATCACGAGTTTCACCAAATAAGAAGACACCAAGAGCTCATAATTGACAATGCTGGTAAAGTCTCATCATCATCATCAATGAAGAACTAATGTTGATATCCTATCTGGCGCTCGGCGCCCAGACTACAGATGGCAGATCCTATCTAGCCTAGACTACAATGCCGAATGATGACGTCAACAGCTTTCCTGAAGTACGAGCATACAGCGACCAATGTCACATGCTTCCAGCACCAGGTATGTCTCTCGCCTCACTCACAACCTCGTTCCTCAACACACAGATGCCACTTGCACCCAAGGACCACCCTGCACCACACCCAGCTTACAGTAGCGCAGCTCGGCTATGGCTGCCTGCTCCTTCCTGCCTGCCCGTGAGCGCGTGAGTACCAGCGAGCTTCAGTGCAGCAGCGCTTTAGCAGCATGCAGCCAGCACCCGAATTACCAATGTGGAGGCAGGCCCTTTGCTATATCCAAGTGGCCTGCCTGCGTTCAGTCCCAGGAAGCTTCCAGTAGGCCCCGGTAGCCTGAGGCCCAGCATGAACGAGAACAGGCCTTGGGCCTGAGGTGGTTGCATGCACCCAACTGCCTTTGGCCTGTGTTTGGCCCAGTACCCGTATCCAGCCCAGGGCCTGCTTTCCATACATTCACACAGGCGGCCCAGGGCCTGGGTTCTCTCAACCAACTGGCGCTGCGCAACTGCCTGAATTTCCTTAGTTGCGCAGTGGCCAAAATAGGGCCCTGAGGGCCTCGTCGAGCCTGCCTTCACTTAGGGCGGCCGACTTGCTCCAAAATAGGGCCGAATGGGGCTCATAGAGGCAGTGGCCTCGCACATCATAAAAAGGAACGGTGCTTGTGTGCTATGCTGCACTGTGCCTGAATGTGCATTCCATTTTATAAGCATCTCCATAACTATCTTGATGGCTTGATCGCAGATCTGATTGGTTAAGGAGAAGGTGACTTCTGCAGCAGACTGACCAATCGACTCAGGGACCTGGACCATCCCACCTAAGCACACTCAAGCACCACTTCGCTTAAACCACTTGTAAACGGCCCCAGCCTTGCAGTCTGAAACTTGTCGCCACAAGAAAACGAGGCCGAAACGTCAAACACTGGGTCTGCCATTGATAAATAGGATCGGCAGTTGCGTTTTCGTTTCACGCTTCTAGAATTCGATGTGTCAGACCCGCGGCCCAGGTGCCCATGTACTGGTGCTTTAAGGGCAGACCAGGTGGCTTATCTGCAAGCTCATTTATTTTTGTGTGTTAGGCTACTCCATGCTTGTGAAGCTTCTTTACTTGTACTCATCCTGTACTTACCTTTCTATGTCACTTCAAGTCATGCCTGTGTTCAATGCTGCTTATCCAGCCCTTTTACCCTGCCAACTGAGCACGAGATGTAATGGGATGTATGCCCTCCAAACTGCCACTAAACGATAAACAAATGACAGAAAACGTAGGCCAGATATTGGACAAGGTGGTTTGGACTGGGCACCAAGGTGGTCCAGCTGGCTCAAATCTCAGACCAGGTGGCTCAGAGCTTGAGCCATGTGATGCAAATCATGGATGGTGGATGTGTATGGAACACTGAAAAGTGTGAAATTCTTTGCTAACATGCTTATCAATGTTCTTGTGTTTTTCACTGACCTGCAGGTTCATGACGATCCACTCCAAGCACCAGTGGATGGGCCTACCCAATGGGTAAGTTTCGGATTGCATTTTTGTCTCCTTGATTTCATTCTTTTGAGTCAGAGACGATCTCTGGCAGCTGAAGGGTACGGTGAAATTGTCAATAAAACTGCTGCAAACCCGGTAGGACCGGGGGGCCCTCCCCCAACCGGAACCGGACCGGTCCTACCGGCCGGTCGACCGGGCCGGTTCCTCCCCAGTTGGCTGTAGCGCATCTTTTTTTTTTTTTTTTTCCAAGCCCAGGGTGTTGTAGAGGCCAAGGACTAGACCCACGGTGATCGCTGGCAGCGGCAGCTGGTGGTTATCCTGACAGGATAGGCCACCTTCCCTACCCTTCCCCACGTTAATGCAATCAGTGCACCCCCTATCTCTACTACGGTGATCGCTGGCAGCGGCAGCCGGTGGTTGTCCTGACAGGATAGGCCACCTTTCCTACCCTTCCCCACGTTAATGCTCCCAGCGCACCCCCTATCCCTACTATCCTACCTCAGTGTGACCAACACTCAGGACCATCACCCTACCAGTATCGAGGGCAACTTGGACCAGACAGCAGTGGCAAGCACCCCCTAACACTA